TCCTTGGTGTAGAGCAGTTTGCCAGCCTCTTTCCCCACAGCCAAGCCAGGAGGCGTGCCGTTCGCAAACCCCTCATTAGGGCCTCTCTGAGCAGGCAAACAAACATCATTAATCTTGGCAAAGTGAGTGAAAGCACATTCACCTGTCCAAGCAAGAGAATTAATGTTGTGTCAATAGGAAATTAGTATTTGCCTCTGGCCTTTACCTCATCCCTTTGCTACAAAAAGCCCAGGGCGGACCAGCCCAAACGCAGGACCAGAGTCAGAGGAAAGAAAACAACGCCCCCCCCCGCCCCCCGCCCCCTCCCCCCAGGCCCAGGGCCCGGCCCCGGGGTGGCTGTGCTGGATGGGATGTCGGGTGACAGGAGAGGCCCGGCTCGGAGGGAGGTCTCTGCTGCAGGGGGAGCGGGGGAGATGTTGCCAGCCTCAGACAAGGTGAGTGGTGCCCGCAGTGCCTTGGGGCCAAGGTTCTCACTGGACTGTGAGCCCCAAGGAGACACGCACCCCTCACTGTGCGTGGACAGACGTGGCCTCGGGTGACTGTTTGTCTCCGGTACGCGGGGCTGTGATCTCTCACGCCAGGCGGGCAGCGCACGGTAGCTGCACAGGCTGAATGGGGCGCCGTTATTGGCCAAGGGGCTGCTGCTTATTGAGCACCTGCTAAGGGCCGGACACGGAGTGTGGTGATTGACAGTGCTTCCCTAAGTGTCCTGCAAAGAAGGTCTCAAGGATGATACTGCAGGGCAGAAGATCCAATAGGTTCGCCTCCAGGCCACATACAGGCAAGAGGTGGATTTGAACCCAGGTCTGACCCTGGAGTCAGTGTTTCCCCCCAGGAATGGTCACACACACTTTCACACCAGGAAGGATCAGCCCACTGCAGGTGAGGTCAAGTGTAAAGACCGGGAGTCTCTGAGGAAGCCTTCTGGGTCATTCTGTGTTCCTGCTATCTGCCAGGAGGGCCTCACTGTTGGGGGGTGGGTCAGAGAGAGGCCGGGCCGGGCCAGCCAACTTGAGAGCGCGAGGGTGTGTGCGTGCCTGTGTGCCCCGGGAAAAGAAACTAAACAAGCCGATCAGATCTCTCGTTTCCAGAGCAAAGCACCAATTAAACACAAGGCAGATGTGAGCAAATAAAGCTGTGGCGTCCAGAGAGAAAATCAATACTAGATTATACGCTCTAGCCCAATCAAATGCCAATTAATACAGAGCGGGTGGGGCTGGGTGCTGGGGGAAGATAAGTCTGGCCGGCCAGCATGCAGGGGTGACCGTGTTTGCCCCCAACGTCCCCACAACTTGGGGCTCCTGCCCTTTTCCTCCTCAGGTGGCGGCTGCCAGCCCTGATTCGCCTGAGGTGTCTGGGGGGCAGCTTGTGTGAGCGGTGCAGGGGGTTTGGGGGGGGGTGGGTAAGAAGAGCTGCCCTTTAGTCCTGGGAGCAGCTCAGAAGGAAGGAAGAAGGGCGCGGAGATGCTCCGGGAGGGCGGCGCCGGGAGGGCACACACAGTTCAGAGCCTGCACACGGGCTGTTGGATGTTTAGTTCGCCACATAAAAAATAAGGCACTTGCTTTTGGAGAGTGATAGAAAGTCAGGCAAAAATGGGAAAACCGGAAATCAAATCTCTACCCCTAAGAAGTGATACTCAAGCCCCTGGTTATTCTGTCCGTGTTTTTATTTAATTCAGAAAGTACAGCCAAGCAGTTAATAAATAATTTTCGGGAGGGGTGATAAAAGATAGATGGCAAAGGGTTTGCAGCACAGGACCTGGTGACTGTGGGGGTGGGGTTGTCCAGAACATTCTGTGGAAAGGCTTCAGTTCATCACCAGGGTGCCAGGGACAAGGCGGTGTGACACACAGCCACCTGCCAATAGAGTTTACCAAGTTTAGCAGGCCCCCTGCCGCAGGGAGGTGGCTTTGGCAACATCAGAAGGACAAATCAAAGGTGCCAACGTCCCAGGGAGAGGAAATCTGGCTGTGGGCTGGGTGCCCGGCTGCAGAACAGTTACAGACTATGAATTCCTGCCCTTGTGGGGGTCAGGACACATGGTCGCAGAGCGAGTGCGCCCTTCCACCAAAATTCCCAGCGCTCTTGGGAAAAGGAGACCCAGTTGTGTGGGAAGCAGAAAATAAAAGTGGAAGGAAAGGTGGCAAATCGCTGAAAAGGGCACCTGCTTCCATTTCCCCCACAGGAAGCCTCTCTGGCCAGGGTCCCTCCTGTACCCTGAATACTCCCAGAGGTCCTTTGCAAGTGCGAGCTCTGTGGGCCAAGGACTGTTGCATGCCAAAGAAAAACGAAATTTGCTAGCCGAATATTTTTTAGACATTTTGCAAGATGCACGGCCTCCCTGACAATTTTTAATGTACTAACTGCCTGGTCCAGTGAACTGATTAATTGGTGCTGGAGAGATCAATAAAAAACAGAAAATTAAAACAATTTTAAAGTGATTAAGTAGTTTAACACCTGTCTCCCATCACGTCAGCGCAGGAAGAAAAATAAAGCAGGTGTCGAAGGGGCCTCCTGAAGCAAGAGAAAACAGCGCCTGCCTCGGAGAAATGACAAATCACAGCTGGTGGATCAATCGGAGTGCAGGCAGCCCTTCCCCAAGCCCACTGCAGCAGCGGCGGGAACCAGAGACCCCAAGAGGCTGGGCACCTCCCCCGGCCGCTCCTTCAGAGCCACTCCTCAGCGAGGGAGGAACAGTGCAAACAGGGCAGGAGGGAGCACAGGGAGCCGAGGACCATCTTGGCCTGGAACTCTGGGTGCGATGAGATGGGAAAGCACCAGCTAACCTTCTCCTGACCTCACTTCCAGCCAGTCAGAGCTGAATCTGTGCTGCATGGAGGGGTTCAAAGGCAATGAATATGCATTTGGGGAGCTGTGGGGTCAAGGGAGGGAAATCCATTGTCATAGCTCTCTAGGATTACCAAATCCTCCATTCTGGAAGCTTCAGCTCTCCACCCTGACTCCCTCCCAACCTCCACCTTCCCCCCGCCTCTACTGCCTGGCTGTATCTACTGGTGTGCAGGTACCCGCTGTGATGGCCCCAAAGTCCCTTGTAACTCCTCTGGGCCAGCCTCACACCCCTAACCCCCAACCAGCTGCCCAGCAGTGAGAGTCACCCCCGTCCCAGAGTTTAATGTATTTGATTCCGAATCACCAGAAGTAAACTCATGGAGCTCAAGAAACTCTAAGATGATTCTCCTCCAACTTTCCTCACCAGAGTCCTAAAAACAGAGTGGAAAGAATATGGACAGGTCAAGGGAAGTGAGGGGCAATGAACAGAGGCTAGAGGTAAGTTCCCCAAGTGAAACATTTCACAGGTCTCCTGTTTTACCTTGAAAGTGGGCTTGAATTTTGCACATACCAAGTACAGAATATACTCAATGTTACTCGTGTTCTAGAAAGCTAGGTGCACGCTGCCCTGTGGCTCTCCTGCCTGGGCCACCACTACATCCCCCCCTTCCCCGGGGGGGTTGGGGTGAGGCTCAAGCCTCAGGCACAGGCTCTGAGCTCCTTGGAAGGGGGAGCCGGGCTCCTTGGCCAACCTCCTGCGTGTGGGGGCAGAATGGGCCACGCCCCTGAGAACCCGCATCAATACTCACCTGCCCGGTGCATCAAGCGTTTGTGTTCTGCTCCCCAGCTTCCTGTTCCCCTTTGAGGTTCCCTTGAAGCTTTCCCTGCCAAGACCGGGACAGAAAAGGAACTCCAAGCAACAACAGAGAAGCCTTGTAGCGGGTTTAAAACATTACATTTGAAAAACATTTAAAAATGTAATTTAAACATTAAATAACCTAAAATGCTTAAAAACATTAAAGCCCTCACCTGAACTTCTTACTAGCGGTCCCCGCTTTGCACGTCTTCCTGTTAAAACCTGTCACACTGACCAGGAAGGGAAAAAGAGTCACAGTAGCAGCCTGGATAGGGCCAGAGTCAAGAAGTTCCACCCGTGAGCTTTAATAAAAGCATTTTACTAGCCACATTCTCCCCCTTTCTCCTGCTTCCGTCCGGGCTGGGAGTTCTGCTTCTGTATTCAGTGTTTGGGCCTCTGTATCCATGACAAACCCTGTGGGGTATTATTCGTATTAGCCTCACCGAAAACTTGTCAACCCTTTACAGCAAATTTTAATGCCAATGACCATCTCACAAAAAAAGACCTCCAGTCTTCAGCTATTGGCCCACTTTTAAAAAATCATCCATACAGCCAGATCTCTACATAAAATGTAACGTATCTCTTGGCATTTCCTGTCACAAGATGGGACCTGGGAGATTCGGTGGGGATGGAAGCCGAAAGGCCCTGCAGTCCAACTTTTCTCATGGGTCCCTGATGCCTGCTTGTCAAGGGTGACTAGTCGGGGGTGCAGCAGGTGGGGTGGCCTGCGGGATGGCGCAGGCTCTGCGCTGCCCCCGGGTTCGGGTGCGTGTGCGTTGTGTGCATGCGTGCACGCGGGGCCCGGCCAAGGTACCTCACCGCTCTCGGAAGCAAACAAAGTTCTTGATACGGCGCCCTCCGGCCCGCCGCTGCTCCCTGCAGAGGAAAGGATCAGACTGACGAAGATAAAGTTTCCCCGGGCTCAAGTTCCAAACTCGGCTGTTTTGTTTCTGTTAAAATGCAATTGTTTTTCTCTGGAGTGTGCGGTGACTGCTCGGCGTCAGGAAGATGTATGAAAGCCTCCACTTCAATTCAGCATCCCTTTTCTCCCAGACAAACACGGTCGGATTTTAATAAATCAAAGAGCCACACTGTTTAATAAAAATTTATTGACTTACAAGTGATTATTTATCAAAAGACCATTAATAGCAGGTACTGAAATGATGTGTTACTGGGTGGTGCTGGGGAGACTAATAGAAAATCAATGCAGCTGGCCGGCCGGAATGCATATGAGAAGCCCCCCCGCCCGCCCACGCCTGGCGCGATTGCACGGGCAAAGTACACCAGACGCTACCCCGGCTGCAATGAAAAGTCCCCCCTTTTTATTTATCGTTTACGAATGAAATGATCAATACTTTTAATCTAGAGCAAAATTTATTAACTTTCCCATCGGAGAGAGACATATTGACTGGGGGGGAGAGGGGGTGTTAGCGCCACGGAAGATGGATGGCCGGACGGCCGTCTCCTAGCCGGTCCGAGAGCCAGAGTGCGTGCCTCTGCCCTTCCGGCCCGCAGGTCCCGCAGGTCCCAGGCCACCACACAGCGCGCGTGCGCCCCAGAGGCACACCATGGCGGGCTCGCTGTCGCTGCTGTGGCCCGGACGCGGGGGCACCCACCCCACGGACCACGGGGCTCGGGGGCAGTTCCCCGAAGGAACGGCAGGCTCTCCAGACCCAGAACACCTCTGCGGGTGGGCAGGGTTGGCGCCCGCTGTCGGCGCTGTCGGCGGGGGGCTGCTGCCAAGGGCTGGGCACTCGGGGCACCGCGGGGCCCTCCCTGCCCCCTCACGGCCAGCCTCTTTTCCCCTCGGAAGGGCAGCCGCAGGGAGTAAAGAAGCAAGTGCTCAAGTTGGTTCTCCTGTCCCAAGGCCACCATCTCAAACTGCTCCATCAGGCTGAGCTTGCGGAGCTCTGGCCTGACTGACGGCCTTCTGCCGAGCTCCCTCTGACCGGGGAACTTTACTAGCCTTTCTGGAAAGCTCCTTCTCTAACTAGCTGGAACAACAATACCTCCCGGTTGAATGGAAACAGCTTGCCGAGATCCACACTCAAACCCACGCAGCACCGCCTCACCTAAAACACTGAGGGACAGCCTCTACAGGAGTGTCCACTAGCCCTATGTTCTAGAGGGACTAAACCGATACAAATGGACTTATTTCTGAACCAGATGACTTTAGAACCCAGAACTAAAGTTTGAACCAGGGTTTTTTAAATTACAGACATTTGAGGTGGAAAGAGCTCTGGAGGCCATCTAGCCCAAGTCCTTAATTGTGGATCAGGAAATGGAGAAATAAAGTCAAAACAGCAAATGAGCAGCAGGTTTGGAAGTGGGATTAGAAGCTGACCAGTGCTCATCCCACCAATTGATGCCGTTGGTTTTATTCCCGAGTCATCCTCGTTGTTGCGAGGATCCTAAGCATGAGAGTATTCTGTACTTGACATTGCTTTACATTGATTCTGTCGTTCCTGCGTGTTGTAAGGCTTTACCACCCAAGACCTGTCCAGTTATCCCAAATCAAGCATCTGACTTAGGGGTAATGCGGGGCCTGCAGGACCCCAATTAAAAAGGATGGCTGTGTAGTTTGACGAGTCTCCATACTTACGACAAGCACTAAATGAAAATTTTAGAAATTGCTTTTCTGGGGGTGTAATTCACATCTCTTCTCTTGGTAAAACAGTGAAATAATCCTTGCTTAGTTTCCACAAGTATTTCTTTACACAGCAGCTGATTCTAACCCAGGCTCTTGCAATCCTCTGCTAGGTCATCAACAGATAGGCATATTTTTAATATTGTTTTGATCTTTTCAGCACACCTGTGAAAATCATGATACAAACGTACTAAACAACAGAGCTTTTTAAAAAAGAACTTCTAAAAAAGGGAACTTGATCTTCAAAACTGATTTTAAAGATCATTCTGGATGGTCTTTAAACACTATAAATATATTGCCTCCTCTAAAGGCTGAAAACCACTGTTTCCTCTTCGTAAAACAGTTCATAAGAGGCTGTTCCTTACAGTCAAAACAGGGTTTTTATTGGAAAGAAAAATTGTTTTTCACTGGCTAGCGAAAGGGCAGGTAAGAGGAAATGGAAGGCTAGCAAGGGAGGCAAAGGAACCGAAAGCAGTCAGGGCAGGGCAGGGCAGGCCAAGTGCTATCAAGTCAGTGCCTCAGGAGCAGGGCTGCCCTCCCACCTCATCCCCGGGCACAGGCCAGAGGGCAGTCTGGGAGAGATGACGCTTACCACAGCTGGTGCAAATCTTGACAGGGGCCACAGCTGTGCCATGCTGGAGCCAGGGGTGGGAGTGGGGAGGGACGGAGAGATGGGTAAATGGTTGTGGGGGAAGGCAACTCTCTCTTGTTAGGGATGTGAAACTGGTACACCCTAGGAGCCAGAAGTGGTGAGGGTTGCTTGGCTTTGGATCCGCCTTCATGGTGACTGTAGGTGGGCGCAGGGGACCCAGGAAGCCCACAGTTTTCCTCCGGCTGTGTGGAAGCCCACAGTGCACCCAAGAGCCACCTGCCCATCCTGTCCCCTCACTAACCCTTCCAGAGCCTCTGTTCCTACCTTGCCCCCCTATTTCCTTGCTGCTTCCCACTGTCCTTACATCCAGACTGCCCTGCCCTTGTCCCTAACAAATGGTGCCTCTTCACACGCCTCTAATGCCAGGCACCCATCGGTGGAGAAATCCACATCTCAGTCTGTGCTGGAAGTTCTAAGTTAATCAGAGAGAGAGGCAAACATCTGATACGAGGAGGAGCTTCTTCTGAACACTACTATTCCTCATTCCAGAAGTCAAGTGGATTCCCTACAGTCTCGGGGCTTTGGTCGAGTCAGAGAACTGTAACTGCTGTACGAAGCGTGTTGCCCAGGGCTACATCCGGGGGACAAAGAGTGAAGGGGAAAACCCCTCAATTAATTGACCATCAAAGACAATTTTATTTACTCACAAAAAGAAACTCAAAGCCCTCTGCAGCAGCTCCGAGTTCAGACCTTTTCCTGCCACGTTTCATGGACCTATACTTGTAACACTGAACAACTTGTCCTTTAAAGTAGCACTTCAATCCCCACAACAACCCTGTGAGGTAGGTATCACCACCCTTCCCCTCCTGATCCAGGTTACAGATGGGGAAACTGAGGCACCAGTTAACAAAGAGCAAGTCACATGGGAGTTCAGGGTTAGCAGTGGAGTTCGAACACAAAATGACTCTTGGTTCCCACCACACCCTAGTCACCGGTCCACCTCGCTTCCTGCCATCCCCTCTGGTGACTGCCTGTGGGCAGGAGCGCAAGAATTAAAACCTCATTTTGCCGCAAGCCCCCGCAGACAGCGGTTTTCCTCTTATCCTGTCTGCAGAGCTCCGAGGCTTCGGGGGGTGATGTTGAGGCTGAAGCAAGTCACACTGCCTCGGCAGTGCCTCTCCTCACAAATGGGGGGACCCTTTCCCCAACAAAGTCTGTAACAGACGGACATGCTAATGTCCTGAACACGGGAACGTGGCTGCTTCTTCCCAACCACTCAGCCCCACACACGTACAGGTGGAGAGGTGACTTTAATGGCATTCCTCCAACGGACTTAGTGTAAAAGAGACAAGAAGGCATCTCATCCTGGGCAGCAGCCCCAGCAGCGTCCACTTCAGACGGTGCGCCCAGGGATCTCTGGGGCGGGTCTGAAGAAGCTGGAGTCCTGGGATCCAGAGCGGCCTGAGGAGCCCCGGAGTTGGAAAGGGTGCGGCGGCGGGGGCGGCGGGGGCGGCGGCAGCAGCAACTCCAGCTGGCTCGCGGGTCAGGATCTGCAAGTGGTGGCTCCAGCCAGCGCGAGGCGCAGGCTCAGGACCGGCTCCTGTCCTCGTGGTTCCCAACGATCATCTTGCTGTACAGCTTCTGCTGCTCCTCTTTGAACGTGTCCTTCACCTTCTCCCTCTTCAGACCACCATCCCTGATGAGAGAGAGTGTGATGTAATAGCAAAGACGGCCTCCTACCCACCCTTACATCACAGCACCACGCTGCTCAAAACCCCAGAAGAAGCTGTCAGAAACAAAAGCACTCCATGGTTCTCTCCCCCGTGAGGGTGACCTCAGATACTGACCCGGCACTCCCCAATTCCACCGTTTCTACCTTAAATCTCTCACTCTTGCCCTGGGGTCAGAAGTCACTCCTCACGGTCAACGTACTTTGTAATCGCTCAAACCTACCTACCAAGGAGTTTACAACGCTTTCTACTCAAACATTCACCCTCACCCGACAACAGATACAGGAGGTATTCTGGCATCACGAAAGGTGAGCCAAGCTTTAAGAACTACGGAGAAGGTAATGCATCTGTAAATCTCATCTGTGAAATAAAGTCTGTTAAGATTCAGACCCAGAGATGCACGCCAACAACGAACACAAGGGGAACTGCGAGTCCTTACTTCTTCCATGCTTGAAGGATGGCGCTGGAGAGAAATCCAAGTCACTCTCAGACTCCTGGGCTGACGACTACCTCTACACTGGGATCTGCTTCTTCAAAGTCCCATTCCTAACTGGCACCCCAACTGCTTGCCTACACCCTAGAATTAGCATCACCTACCTTCAGTGACTGACGGAAACCCCAGTCCACTTTCAGGCTTTCTGCTACACCTATACTTCCCCCTTTGAGTTATGCAGGTGGTGGTGGCAGAGAAAGTCTGACGAAGCACAACCCCCCCCCCCCCCGCCCCATCACTGGACAGACCTCACAGCGAACGCTCTTCTATCTGTGATGCCCTTTACAATCCACAGCAAAGGTGCCTTTTTAAAGGTAGCCCCGTGGACAGGGAATGTGGAACAGTGGTTAAACATTCCAGCTCTAGCAGCCTGTCAGACCTGGGTTCAAAGTCTGGTGCCCTGATTCCTCTGCAACTCTGAGAAAGTTTCCGGACCTCTTCGAGTTCTGCTGTCTCATCTGTGAAATGGGAGTAAGAGTTCTTACACTGCATGGGTTTACTGTGAGGATGGGGTGAGGTCATCCCCGGCAGCGGCACAGTGCCTGGCTCACAATGAGTGCTCGAGGACCATGCCATCACCTGAGAACCCACATGTCAGTTTAAAATGTGAATCTCTACTACATCCTTTTCCCATAATGCCCACTTTAGTCAAGTGCCCCATAGAGCTGACCCTTGTGCTTAAAACAAAGGGTCCTGGAGGGTGGAATGATTTCCCTGAACCAGCACTCCTCCCAAGTCAGCTCCTGTTATTTGGGGTCTAACCACCTCATACTCTAGCATAAGGGTCCATAACTATGGCCCGTGGGCCCAACCTACCCTGACACCTGTTCTGAGAACGTTTTATTGGAACCCAGGCATGCTCATGTGTTTCCATATGGTCTCGGGTGCTGTCACACGAGTGGCAGATTGAAGCAGTCACGACAGTGGCCGCATGACCCACAAAGTCTACAGTATTTACTGACTTCACAGAGAGAGCTCGCCGACTCCTGCTCTAGTAGGAACAACTCATTGTAATAAATGAAACTTCTGCCTTTCTAAGGATGGTCCAGTTTTACCAAATACATAAGATTAGAGAGCCCAGTTTAGGCAGCTTCCAGACCAGCATCAGGTCACCCCTACCTAAAGAGACAAGGACCGTCTGGGTGCCCTGGCAGACGGGTACAGACCCCAGAAGGTACAGAGAATCAACTGCTTCAGACGAAGCATGCTGGGCTCTGTGTGCCCAAGGTCAAGGCAGCATGGGACACTTCTGAACTGGAACTAGGAGAAAGGAGTCACACTGCTCACTCTCCAAGGCTGGCGAGCTTAATTCTCCACACCAGGGAGAGGCGGATTCTTCGTAAAAGGAGACAATTCAGCATCTGCTTCAGAAATTCACATCCTGCTAGACTCTGCAGATAAAACCCGGCTCTGACTCACCACAGCAGGTCCACGAGCCCCCCCTGCCTGGCAATGGCGGATTTCACCCTATTTGCAAACTGGACGGCATCTTCATCTGTCTGTAAGAAAGAATAAATGAGACCACTCAACACAGGCTGGAGTCACACAGAAGGAAGCCAAGAACTCTGCACGGTGTGAGTACCCACCTCTCTGGTCATGGGAGGCAGGTACCAAACGCTGCAGACAATGGCCCAGCTGGTCATCATTCTCAGCAGGTACGTCACCATCCCATACTTGCTGCTGTTCCAGAAGGCATCACCAAATTGAGGGTCATACTGAAAAGCAGTGGAAAACTGGATGGTAAGAAGTCAGTAGTTCTAACAAAACGTGGGTGTTGCCAGCAACTTCTGTGACCACGTCACCTAGGGCAGTATCAGTTCCAGAAAGCCGCTCTCAGACCCCTCCACGAACACTTCTGAAGTAATTCTATGCCCGGGCAGTTCTGACCTCTAGCAACATGAACCTCCCAATGGACTCAAGATTCTGCTGTCGATCATCAGGGAGGACTCCCCGAACTGCTTTCCTCAAACAAATGAGCTCCCTCTTTGACCCATTTCACGCCTTCCTCACTCATAGGTGTATGTAATTCTTAACGTGTTCAAGCATATCCCAAACCGGAGAGAACAGCATAAGATACTCTCCTACCACCATTCCCCAGATTTAACCATTAGAACATTCCACCACACGTGCTTCGCCTGTCTCCAACACTGCCTCATTCATTCATCCATACTTCTACAGTACCTCACCCAAACATACCAACTTTTTAATATCATTTCTGGTGCCCCTGACCAAGGAGGAAACAACGACAAAGCTTCTGATATACTTCCGTGACGACAGCACGAACAAAGCTAACTGTGAGCAGGAGGCTCTGGGCTGATGGTGTCACCAGCGTTCTTCAGAGCACCTGAGGCACGCACGACAGTTCACGAGGCCTCCGCCACGCACGTGCTGCGCTTCCCACCAAGCAGCAGGCTCACCAGATACCTTCTTTTGCCAATGACTCTACTGGAAGCAAAGGCTGCATTTTGTGGGCAATGCGGCTGAAGCTGTGACCCGCAGTCTCATCCACCAGAAGAGAAAGCTAAGTGGCAGGTAAGCAGTGGGGGAGAGGTGAGGGAGGAAGTTACGTAAGAAGCAACCAAGGGAACTGAGTCCTCAAAGAGAATGCCCGAACGGAGCGTCCTGCAACTGCTAGCAAATGTCTGAGGGGCTATCACACACACGACCTCAGGCTGTGACTATAAAGCAAAGATGGGGACCAGAGTGTGGAAAAAGAAAAGGAGATGGAATGGCAAGAGTGATCCCGCAGGGGCAAGCTGCTACCGGTGTGAGAAACGCCCTCTCCCTGGAGAAGCTCGAGAGGAGCACCGGCAGGGATGCTGGAGGAGTCGCCCTTGACGGAGTGGGGCTGGGTGTGAACCACAGGATCTTTCAGGCTCCTCAAGCCTAGATTTCATGATTCTCAGAACAGAAACTGTTCACAGTTTCTGATAACTACGCCTAGCCGTGGATCTGACTACACAGGAAGGAAGACATTTAGATTAAATTACAGACTAAACTATTTAGATTTAACTATAGAAAGTTCCGTGAGCTTACATTATAATAGCAAAGGGAAATAAGGGAGAAGAATGAGTTTTAAACAGAAACGAATGCTTATGTTTTGAAGAAAATGGTGTTATATTTTATAAAGCCCTATATGGATAAAGTAGTTGACATCAAATGTGAGAGCCCTTTGTTTAGAGCTGAATCTCTGTTCCATGCTGGGCTGACACTGTAGATAGAAAAAGGCGGCAGAAACTCAAAATTGCAATAAATTTCTCAAAATCAAATAATGGCCTAATTTTGGTGGAAACATAGTAAGAGCCTTGAAACTGCTAAGGTTATCCAAATTTGGTTACCAATGAAGGCTTTACAAAACTAGCAACGTTGTTGTAGAGCAGTTCTTAATCCTAAGTGGGCTTAAATAAATCTGTGGACAAAATGAAATTATATGTAAAGCTGACATGACTTTTTCTTTGGAGAGGAGCCATAAGTGGCCTAAGGGTCCATGTCTCAAAACTGTTTAAGAACCACTGCTCCACAGCAGGGCTCCCCAAGTGTGGTTCTCAACCAGCCCATCTGGAGTATCCCGGAACAGGTTAGAAATGCAAGTTCAGAAACACCCAGCAATCTGCATTTTCCCAGTCCCTCCAGGGGATGCTGATACAGCTACAAAGAACTGATGTTCTGGAGCAAACAGTAAGGAAGGGCCTCTTCTAATACTGTTTTTACTGCCCATGTATGGGGAGCACTGGATACTGAAATGCAGGATGGGATGCAGGAGACAGACACCACTCCCCAGGCTCTCCTCCCATGGCAGACACCACTAACAGACTGTTCTCTTTCATGCTGTTCCCAGAGACAGCATCCTCAACAGGTGGCCTGGGCAGCCCTAACCCATGAGTCAGCCAGTTCTCCTCCAGCCACCATGCATCTACCACTGCTGCTCCAGTGCTCGGCCTCCCTGGCAAAGGGGAATGCTGGTAAGCATTCGTCACCCCAAGAGACACCCCTCTTCCTGCACTGCACTGGCTGTGCTAAGTGACGCGGATCCTCTCCACAGAGTGCTCTGCAGACAGCACGCGGACCCTTGCGAAAGGGTGGAGACTAAATTTTAAGTAGAACTGGCACAAATGTACTTGCTGTTCTACCCTGATCTGAGATTTCAATGTAAGCACTAAACACACTGACAACAGCCTGTAGTGTTTAGAAGTAATAATGCGAGTAATAACATTCTTTTAGGAAAAGTTTTCAATTAGCAATAATCGCGCCTCGGATAAACCTCATTGGCTACGATACTGCCAACAGAAACAGTACAACGTATGGATTTATAAAACCAGATGGATGTAAAGGCGGAGAGAGGAAACAGACTAACTGAATCCCATCTTCCCAGTGAGTTTGAAGTACAAGTTCCTAAAAGGTGGGGGAGAGCCTAGACAAGCTCTTGAGATGCATTTCATCAATAGTTCCTGGTGTTTACAATGATACCACAACCCAAAGCAGTGGAGCTGTTTCTTCCTTCAGTATTAAGGACACATCTGTAGCCATCCATGCTCCCCTTTCCACCAAATGTACACATCCAGCTGGGCCATACCCCCCACTCCCTACAGCAAGCCTCCTCTTCAAGTGGAGCACCTTCCACTCCTGGAAGATTTATGAAGATGTCGTAAGCGGGGCATAGCATGCAAAGCTTGTGAAAGAGTTTGCCATTTCCTGAATCTGGTGATGGCAGTGAGGTGTGGGCTAGAACGGGCTGGTCCTCATTCAGACACCCCCTGTCCCTTCTAGCGGGCTGTGAACCGTGAACAGTTCCTTTCTCCTCCTCTAGCACACTCTACCCACACTAGCCAGGCCCAAGCTGCTCCACTGGAGGACCGACCCGCTGGCCGGTGACACCACCTTCTTCCTCCCCTCTCTCGCTGTGTCCCATTCACGGCAGCTGTGACAATGACCACATGCGCCCTCAGAGGTCTTGTACCTTGATAGCAACAGGGTAAACCGTGGCTCCAATTTCAAAACTTCCCTTTTTGAACATCATCACTGATGTATTATTGATGCAGGTTCCTAAAACACAGGAGAGTAAAATGTGCAATTTCTTTTGGTCCTTTTACCTCAGAGATTAGGAGTTTAAGAACTAAATATATTAAGAAAAATTCTTCTAATGGCTCTTCAAACAGGATAAAACCATCCTGCATGGCCTCCGGACCCTCCCACACAGAAGCTCTCTACAGGGATCGACCCCTTCTTACCCTCTGGGAAGATGAGGATGGGTAGCTTGCTTTTATCCTGCACATGCTCAGTCAGTCTTTGGAAGGGAAAAAGAAAACAAAGGTTCAGACAGCCTTACATCCATCATCATCAAAATGCACTTATAAATAAGCTATGCAGATGTCACACCGGATGGCGTATGAAAGCAAGTTAACAAATATGATGATCTTTTATAAACCCACAGTCTGAATCTCATAAAGACAAAACTTATACAGACAGGGAGAATCAGATGACTATTTAACTAATCCAGCTGTTCAGTTAAGTATTAAGGTCTATGTAGAGGACACTGCTCAGACTTGGGACGACCTAAAGGATGTGCCTGCCACAGGGCCTTGCTAACAGCACCCTCAATAAACACTTGTTACTGGATTTCTGGACTTCCTGACACCCGTGTTGGGTTAAACCTACAGTCCACCTGGCTTAGCACTGTCCCTGAGAGATGCAGTAAAGGGAATCCGGGGCAGGTTCACCTGTCCCTGTAGAAGATGGTCTCAGCTGAGTCTTCATTCCTCTCGGTTTCCTGCAAAGCTCTTGCCATTATGTACACCAGCTCTACCTTTTTTCCATTGCCTTAAGTTTGTTTTTATTTGTGATAATGAGTTCACCTTGAGATTTCAAATAGCCTTAAAAGTTCATATGTGGTTTATCACAATGAGTAGAAAGAATGAAAAAGGTTGAGAGATTACTAACTTGGCAAATAATACCAAGGTTTCTATACCTTCTTATATTCCATGTCTTAGGGAAAAAAATGTTTTATTATGAAAGGAGTACAGGCTCAGTGTAGAAGACGCTATGATTCTACGGTGGAGGGATAACCACGCCTAAAACGCGTTCATTCTAACTGATCATACAGAGCAACGACATTTTGTGGATTTACCTTTTAGCCACCAGGTGGCGATCTTTCACTTCAGAACGCTCAAACCAGACGTGCGGGCAGGCCTTCACCATGGCTCTCTGAATCACACCCATGAGTCCCCCGTGCACTTGACCCACCTAATCTCACAGAAAGGCATAACCGGGAGTGAAGCCATCCTCACACAAATCCCCCGCTCTGTGGAGACAGCCCCAGATCCCAAAAGGAAAGTACCCCAACCTCTCACCCTCTAACATTTTGACAAGCATAGGTTTCTCACTATTAAGAAACTATTATTAGACTCTCTGAATCTTAAATTTTGCCTTTTATTCAGTGATATCAAAGATACATCATTAAAAACATAGCTGAAAACCCAAAAAAGAAATAATGAAGAAATAATACCTTGTGTAAAAATGCTTTTCCTGGGCAAGTTCTCCAATGCCCTTGAACCCAGTCCTTTCAAATCCTCCTTCCCTGTCCTTCACTCCCTTCCATGGTCTGCCTAAACATCCAAAGTCTAATCTCCAACCACACTCTTAGTTAGTACCCTGCTCAGAATACCCCCTAGCAAAGTCCCAAGGATTTCTCAAAGCAACAGAAACAGAGGTGACAATGTAGATTGGAGCCCGTGTGTAAAAACATGTTTCCACGTTTATATTCCTAAGTAAGGGCTTTCTGAAGGGTCCAGAAGCATCCCAGCCCTGAGCATTCTAAAGCTCTTACTTACCCAAGAAAGCAACAGAAAATGGTCTTACCATGGCATAATAACCATCACTGGCCAAAATGATGACGTCAATTGGAGAGGTGTGATTGGCCACACAGATGCCACCGTTTCTAGGCCTGTTTTCCCTGTGTTTAAAAAGAACGCAAAACAACAAAATCCATGTGAAACAACTGATCTGGAACTCAGCCCTTACTCACCCACCTCATGGGCTCTGAGAGCTCAGAAGAGCCCTCGCTGGCCAATGCCATTTCCCCGTGTCATGCAAAGTGCCCTCACCTGTCGTGGTAGGTAATGATGGCTGTCAGGGCTCGCACACAGATCCGGTAACACATTAAGTGAACATGTTTACTCAGGAACTCCTTAAACCTGGTAGGACAGGACGAAGGTTTTTATTTTTACTTTATACATACGAAGTCGGGAAAAGTTACGGCCTCTAACAATGTAACTATCACTGCCTACAGCCCTTTACAACTGCAGATGTTTTTATAAATATTACCGCATATGGTAAAACTCTATGGTGTACAAGTGTCTTTATGCCTATGTAATGAGGAAACAGAAATGACGAGAAGTGCTTCTATTTACTGAAGTGACTGGGTTTAGAATTTACAGCCCTCAAATTTCCAGCAAAGGTGAGCCTCCTCGATTCCTTTCCTTTCCAAGGACAGAGAGTCTAACCTCACCAGCCCAGGGAAGAAGAGAGCTAGCCCCAGAACTTCCAGAAGGAACAAATTTCTCCACAAAAAAAGCCCTACCTATATTTCTTTTCCTTTTACCAATTTATCAACACAGAATGCTCAAAACTAAATGACATGCTGTAAAATCTGCTGGCCCTGGGCGCCTGGGTGGCTCAGTCATTGGGCGTTTGCCTTCGGCTCAGATCATGATCCCGGGGTCCTGGATTTGAGCCCCACACTGGGCTCCCTGCCCTGCGAGGAGCCTGCTTCTCCCTCTCCTTCTCCCACTCCCTCTGCTTGTGTTCCCTCTCTCGCTGTGTCTCTGTCAAATAAATAAAATCTTAAAAAAAAAAAAATATGCTGGTCCTGGACTCCATGGTTGTGAGGTTCCTCCCTTGTCTTTAAAATGGGAAGTGTGTGAC